TGGAGAATGTCGACTTTCACCGGTGAATGTCAACATTCACATAGTCGCTTGGTGTATGTCCGAAATATTTTCCAAATAATCTTATTTCTGACTTAACCGGTCAATGTCGGCATTCACCATGTACTTATGGTGAATGTTGAACATATAACAATATTATATTTTCTTCTCCGTAATTCATTTGCGAATAAACGCACTTGAACTTGAAATAAGAACTTAAGAACATGAGAACCTAAAACACACAATACATTCAAAATGAGAAAGGAAAATAATAGAAGTGAAAAACTTACTAATTATACAGTACGTTCTAAATGAGAAATTAAAATAACAGTCATAAAAAACTACAAATTATGTGATTCAAATCTTATTTATTGCAACAACCTTAACTAGGCCGTTTATGACTCTCTTTTCGACTTTCACCAGAGCATATCTGTGATTGTCGACATACACCGGTGAGGGTCCGAATATACAAGAATGTAGTGAAATATTCGGTTTTTCACCGAGGTATTTGGTGAATGTTGATATTCTCCGGTGAAAGTCGACATTCTCCAATTTCGGTCTTTCACGGTAACATATATATTATAAATACTTATTTCCCTTTAATTAAAAATCAAGGTAAATTACATGTTATTTAGCTGCTCAATAAAAAAAAACAGTTTTTAACTAAATAAAATGGCAAATATTTTATTATGTTGCTATGAATTTCGAAAAACCAGTTCTTACATATAGCCAATTATAACTAATAAAACAAAATCTAAAATTTCGTATTACAAATCTTTTCATTTATTGGAAAAGCAAATTAGGTTTTGTTTAGGGAAAAACAAAGTTCAAACCGGAAGTGATAATTTCGTTGCTTTTTAAAACACAGAGGTGGCTGGAGGTCAAGAGTTGGCCATATCAGGTTTTTTGAAATATGTAGTTTTAATATAATCTAAATATATGCAACTGTTAAACAGATGCGATTCTGTTGTAATTTTTAATATGTTTACGTAAAATGCACGAATATTTTCTGATACCGGGTGATCACTATCTGTTGGGGCTATATTTTCGTTATTTTGATAAAGCGGCTTGCGATTAGTTTTCTAGCCGAAAATAACTTATTTTTGTATAATAAAATATCTGTTTATCTATTGCATTTATTTTAACGAAACTGCTTATAAAAAATTAGCATGTTATGTAAAAAATATGAAACTGAAGTTAACGTAAATAAATTGCTTTCAAAGTATTCGAAAAATGACCAAGAACATCGTGAAAGAATATGAAACAACTTATTAGTCGGTTTTTGTTTTCCATATCTAAACTATTTTAAAATTCTTACAAAGTTTAATGACCTTTACCTGTGACCGTATAATGAATAACAGAAACAGAATATATCAGGAAGAAAAACATCTTGTTTCTTGGCAGTGTTAAATGAGGTGTTTATGATTGATCTTATGTATAAATGACTGTAAATGGTCCGGTTAGAGAATAAATGAATTACTGGCAGTCATTGTGGGGTCGCTTCACAAGACATTAATTAACTTTTAATTCAGTTTTACTTCCGCATTTAGGATTGTTTAGTCATAGAGAATTGCATATTTTCAAGTACAAAATCCTAAAATCTTAATTTAGTATTTTGTTGAGTAAAATGATAAGCAATCACATAATATTGTTGAGAGCTATGGGATTAATGCTTAAGCGATTAATCTAGGTAAGCAAGAAGAAATGAAAATTCGGAAATTAAATGCAATAAGTTGTACAAACAAGCGCAATAATGGCTGGAAATAATCTAGGGAGAGCTCAGATATTTAGCACACGAAATAAATTGTGATGGAATTTCCTTAGCACACGAAATAAATCGTGAAATTCCTCAAATCACTTTCAGGGGAAACGCGAACTCGTAATTCAGCTAAACGCTAATTCACAACAGCTAATTCTTAGCTCTCCAGCATGGGCTCCGGAAACTATCTATTGAATCGTCTGGAGGAATCGGTGGTAGGGCTTGGAAAATGTGTTTCGCGAATCTTCCAGAAAATCACCACATTGGCGAGAAATCGTCAGATTCCCTTTGGAAGGAAAATGGTTATATCTCGCTTTCTGATTGAGCTGTTTTTACAAATCCAAAGCCGTTGGATTCTTAATTAAAAGATCTAGAATTGTATGTAACAAATAAATAGTTTGTGGGGATTATTTTAATTTTCTAATAGTTATTTTGAATTTTGAAACCCTTTCCTTTAAATTCTTGTTTTTCTTGTTTGCCAGAATGAGATTTCTGGATCGCGTTTTACTTTAAGCCCCTAGTGTTACGTGCCTAATAGTATTCGCCGGTGAGGTTTAAAATATCAGCGAAAAAGCTGAATTTTGTATTAAAATGTTTTTGGTGGCAACAGCCTTTTTTTAGGCTTTCGCCACTCCTAAGGCTGAACACGGTAATCATTTTATTTTGGAGGCACCTAATAGGCGACCACAGTTAACTCTTATGAAAAGATAGGCAAGTTACATCCATGCCTTCTCCTGAATTTGAGCCTGGGCCCTTTGGTACTGCAGTGGGCTTCCCTAACCACTATACTGCCTAGGCAGTTATACTTGGAATGTTAGATGATGGAAAAACATTTACAAAAGGAGGCCGAATGAGATGTGCGAGTGTAGAAATAGTGTGTGAGAAACATGGTATGAAATTAAACCAGTCATAATTCAAACGTCATTTAAAAATGTAGTTTATCTAACAATCTAGATGGAACGAAAGAGGATTATTCATTGATGGATCTGAATAACAGAGATTATGAGCTTTAGGAGTAGTATTGGTACCTGGGCCCTACTCCATGTAAAGCAGACCAGATCACGTCGTCTAAACACGTCTTAAGCAATCTTCGCGAAATTCGGGCTTCGTGTATACACGTCTTAAGCATTTTTCGTGCGATTTGAAATTCGTGTAAAGACGTCTTAAGCATTTTTAAAGAAATTCCAAAAACGTTTAAACACGTCTTAAGCAGTTAAAGGGTTAATTACTGGCCAACTCGGTTAGTTGTCTTTGTACAGCTTCGTCTAAAGTTAAGTCAGTTAGAATTAGTAAGATTCTTATTTTCTCATCTTAAGTTAAAGCCCAAGTGGAGGCTTTTCTGTAAGCCCAAGAAGGGGCCGACTGTTGGCATTTCTTTGAGTGAATAAAAGGGTAATTTAACCCTTCTTTGGACTTCTATTTTATAGTTTTAAGGAGACCAGATACTCCCACTCCCATAAAGTTCTAGTAGTCAAGAATAAGTTCTAGTAGTCGCGAGATACTCCCACTCCCATAAAGTTCTAGTAGTCAAGGACACATAAATTAACTGGAACTTTATTAAATGCAAGGTATGTGGCACAAATTATATTAAACACAAAATACTCTGTAAAATAGCCATTCTAAAAACAATACAAAATATCACTGTATGATGTGTTCTCCCGCCTTCGTAGCCTGCCTTCGTGGTGTAGTGGTCCGCACGCTCGTTTTTTTACATCCTTGTACGAAGTAAAAATAAAGTATTGTAATTGCGAAAGCAAATATCCATTTTCACCTCTATCGAATGGAATTTCACGACGTTTTTGCTTGACATCTGTACGTAAGGACAGAATAAAGGACTATTTTCCCCCCAAAAAATTCTAAAACTAATTTAAAATGAATTCTGAAGAGAATTTTTCGTGGCGTCTGTGTGTGTACATACGTATATATCTCGCATAAATCAAAAACGAGTAGCCTCAGAACGTTGAAATTTTGTATATAGGACTGGTATAACATGTATATGTGCACCTCGTATTTTGGTTGCAGTCGGCCGTACCAAAAGTATATAAATATATCTGTATATATGTCCACTCTGTTACTCGGCTCAGTGATCTCAGTTTTATTGTTCTTATATGTTTGTCAATTCTGCATTTTTTGCTTTAAAAATGATTGAATTATGTTGTTCTTATCTTCCGGTTAAGGTTTTTATGCCTTTAGTAAATCTCTATGCAATATTTGTAGAATTATCAACAATGTAAAAGCTGTTTAAGTGCAGTTAAGCCTAATTTTTAAGTATCATGGCGGACATGTTTGTTTACATTGGAAAGAGCAGAATAGTAGATTTGTTGCCAGTCTAGAGAAAGTAAACTTCGCAATAACAAAGATAACACCATCTTTTATTATTGCGAATTAAATCATGCTTAATCCATTCTGGAACTTATTCGAGGAAATAAGTGTTTAAGATTCACTTCATAATTTTCAATGCAGATGCTTGAGTTTTAATGCATTTTTTTCAGTGTCGCGAATTGAGAACTGAATTAATTGAATGGGAAATACTGAATCGTCTGTGAAAAACTGTTTCTTTTGTTGTTGTTGTTCTTTACTTAATTTCTTTTATACATCGTTTTAGATTTATGAATAGAATATATGACAACTATTAGATAATTCTTAAGATGATATAAATTTTGTGCATTCTGAGTTAAAAAATGAACGAAATGTAACGCTGTTAAGTGAACCTAGGGCCAGAGTGTCGCTATGGTTAACAAATATAGTGAATTTTAATGAGAGCATTTATTCTATTGTGTTTTTTGCGCTATAGACGAACTAGATTTAGTTCAATTCAGTAAGTTAAAATGAAATGCAAGAAAAAATGCGTATAATTTAATATTCCGTACAAGGAAGTCATGGGGTGTACACATCAGATTTGTTTATTCTTCCTTTCAGAACTGGAAAATCTTTGCAACGTACGCTAATTCCAAGAAACTTATTTTACTTCAATTAACCATAATGTTCACTACGTTCAATAGTGCTGCACTGAAGAACCAGTTTTATCCATATAAAAATGTATTGTTATTTCTTACTTCTTTGCGTCTTTTTCCTCCAATAAATTAAAAACTAAATATTCTGATTAATATATTTTAAGTATGGATGTTAATTAGAAGTCAGCTTTTAATATGGTCTCTAACTGATTTGAGAGTTTTTTGTATAGAGTAGATTATTTTTTTATGTATACAATGAATATTATGTTAAAAGTAAATTTATTTTGTAGAGAACTGACAAAGAGTCCTTTGCTCAAAAACTGTTGAGGACTGGATATTCCAGCCAAGGATATTTAAAGGATTTGCTTAACAGCAGCATTTTTTCATACAGAAGAAAAATCAGTGAATTGGGTAAGTGATATTTTTCCTAACTTTTAACATCTGGAATTAGCCGTTTTACTTTCCGCTTATTGGAAAAATAGAAAGCTCTTCTCAATCAATGAAACATAACATTTGAATGTGTGTCATAAATGCGCGTTGTTTGATGCTGTAACGAAATAAATCGTTTCAGAGTTATATGTACACTTTGTACACACACACACACAAAAAAAAAAAAAAAAAAAAAGAAAGAAAGAAAAACAGTTCTACATCTCCCGTTCTATTGGACTTGACGAAATTCAATTTGTGTTTTTCAGTTTACGAAAGGGCGATATATATTATATTTTTATATAGCATCCTTTTAACATAGGTATTCTGAAGCACAATCGGACTTTTTGTGAAATGACATACCGATTGTTTTCAATATTTCGACTCTGCGACTCAAGTTATGCCTAAGTATTAAATGTAAAAATTGGTAAGAAACTTACCGGGAAATTAAAAAAAAAATCTTGGCCTACATTTTCCCTGTTTGTGCCAAGAATAAGCCACTTGGCAAAAATTTTAAAATTTTTAATTTATGGTAACCTATTTTCCTTTCATTGCGCACGACGGTAAAAAAAGGTGCATCGTTCGTTCTTTTGAATAATTTAAACTAGGTACACTGCGCAAAACAAAAATGGGATAGTTCTATTCTGTTCTACTGGGCCGGTTGACGAAATTCAAACTGCGTTTTTTATGTCTCGAAAGCGTGACTTAGGATATGTATTAGATTTATATATATAGCATTGTTCTAATATATGTATTTTGACACAAAATCGGACTTTTCCTGAAATGACATGCCGGTTTATTTTCCATATTTCGAGTCTACGTCTCAAATTATGCCTAAATATTAAATTTAGTAAAATCTGGTGAGAAATTTACGGAGAAATTCAAAAATTTATCTTGCAATTTTTTTTCAGTTTGCGCTAAGAATAATTAATTCACTTGGCGAACTTCTTAATACATGGCAACCGATTTTCCTTTCCCTTTTTACATTGTGCATGTGCGAGTAAAAAGGTCACATTTTTCCTACTTTCAAATAATTTTAACAAAGTTCCTAAACCACATTTGATGTCGTTATATCGCTTTCAACAAATATGCCAGAATTCAAAATTTGCCAATATATAAATTCACGTATATCTTCCGAAATTTTGAATAAAAATACTCTCATTTTTTGCAGGTATGCTTAGAAATCTATTTACTTTAAAATGATGGTAAAAATTTTATAGATTATAATTCAAAATTTTTTTCGAAAAATTTATAAAAATTATTTAAAAGTACAAATTTTAAAAATGATAAAAAGTAGACGAATTTTATTCGGAATGAGTCTAAATTTCGAAAAAGGAAGAATCAAATAAGTTTAATAGAAAAAGATAGATTAATGAATATATACCAAAATTCAATTGAGGAGTTAAAATTTGAGAGCTAATTTTTTCAAATGTACTAGTGCGATTTTTCACAAAACTTGGCAGTTTGGCATAATTTGAGTCGTAGAATCTAAATGTTGAAAAACATCGGTATTTCATGGTAAATCTTTACATTATGGTAACTTGGCGATTTTTTGGCGAAATCTTGGCGACCAACCCTGCTACAGCAAACTGCTAGTTTTGTTTTGGACGCCATTTTGTTTTCACGAAGTAAAGGCATGTTTTTTTTTTTACTCAACATTTTTTCCAACAATCTGCTAGCCGAATTACGCTTATACTATAGAACTTTTATGGAACAAAAATGCTTAATCATGACGCAGATTAGGTGCGAAACTGGGAGAAAGTGCAGAATCGCAAACTGCTTGCCGCGTTTTTAAGAATTTCCACATACACGGTATCCATGTACACGTCGACCTATTTTCACTTAAAAAAAATCTCAGAATTGCACAAGAATGGCATTGCGCACACTCTTGACTTTATCTATGTACACATCGACCTATTTTCACTTAAAACGTAAAAAAAAAAAAATATATATATATATATATATATACAAAAATCCAATTCTTCTTACTCTTGTAAAAAGCGCCAAACAGATAAGTGGGCGATTCTGCACTTTAGCAGCGAAATTGTTTCTAAGGGCTTATTAGCTAAAATCACGATCGGAATTTTCCGGAAAATGTCAAATTACATGTCTCATGATCTCTCATTTCTCTGAAACAAAATAATCTGTGTACTTCTCAGATTATTGCTAAAGTCCTAGCTAGTAACTATTATATAGCCTTACCAAAATATCGCCAAACTACTTGTTACCATATTCTAAAGATTAGCCTATTTCGTTTCAGAAAAACTGAGATTTAGTGTCAAAATACCTGTTAGAACAATGCTATATATAAATCTGATATATATCTCGAGTCGCGCTTTGGAGACATGAAAAACGCAAGTTGAATTTCGTCAGTGGCCCAGTAGAACGCAAGATATAGAACTGTCCTTTTCGTGCAGAGTATACTTCTAACTAATGTGCAGAGTGTAATAAATGCTATTAATATTCTAGAACAAATGCTGTTAACGTGTACATCACTATTATAATTAATTAAAGACGTACCTTGCGTCTTATAAATAAGTACCTGCATTACATTGTTACTTTACTTTATTCCCCGTGTACAATAAAATCGGCATTAAAATATAAGTTAATGAGAAAGAATGAACCGAAAGCTGTTGCAGAAAAAATTGTGAAATCGGCAATAACGTCAAGTTGCAAGCTAACAGTCACAACAACATGGAACTTTGGCATGCAGCGTTAGGGTAAAGATTTCCCCATTACTTGATTGCACTGAAGAGATTTTCAAGTGCTTGCTCCTACCATGCAATCGTTGTATACGTGAAATGAAAAATAGACTTATTGAAAGAAGAGCAGCAAGCTGCAGTGCAGTTTCAGATAGTTCAAACATCCTTGTGAATCTTCTGTGGCCTCCTGTTTTTCCTGATCCTTCTCTCATCAAAAACCACAATTTCCTCGAGCCGATCACAGTCAAGGTGGCTATTATGTATTAAAATCTTTGTTGTTATTTCTGTAATACAATATTTATTAATTTTATCGGTACAACTCTAATATACGCCCTAATTTCACCAAATGTGGCGATATGTGTTCTGCGCTGGTTTTTGGCGCGATTGCGTGTTCTATGGCAACCCTGTTGACGTTGAAAAATCTTTCGCTGGAGTTCGTTGGTTCCCGTCATGCTTTGTGTCTGAGAAGCTAGGGGGGGAAAGATTAAAATGGTGAAGTTGTTGAATTGAAGTTCGGCATAAGGAAATATGTCGTGGCCATCCTGTTGAGGGGCAAGTGGGTATTTGGAGGTGTGGAAAGAAGGTATGGGAGATTATTTTTAGTGGCTGTGCGTGATAGAAGTAGGGATTTGTGATTATTTTTATTTTTATTTGTGAACCATAGTATAAATTTTCTGGATAGTGTGTCTGGCTGTCATGTAAATACGATAGTGATTACGTGGCGGCATGTTAAAGGCGGTATGAAATTTATATATCTGCTATTCGAAAATGCATTAATTCATGGTAAGTGCATTTTATTTTATCCTTGTTCTTATTTTGTAGAATGTTATGTTCATTGGTTCTTTAGTATGAATTTCTGTCGTTATTGTTGTTTTTTTGAATTGTCTGAAATTTATTTTAGTTATTTTGTTGATTAATGCGTACCATCTGAATTCTGCAATTCGTAGATGTTTTTTAAAGTTGAAACAGAACGCTGTGTACATGGTATTATTTGAAATTTATTGTTGTTATGTTATTTTATTAAAGCGAGGAGTGCGTAGATCGTAGATTCCTTCCTTGCCTAAATTGTGCAATTCGTAGAATTTTTTTCAAGTTTAAATAGGATGTTGTGTACATGGTATTCTTTGAAATTTATTGTTGTTATGTTAATTTATTAAAGCGAGGTGTGCGTAGTTTGTAGATTCGTTCGTTGCCTAGATTGTGCAATTCGTAGATGTTTTTTTAAGTTAAAACATATCGCTGTGTACATGGATTCTTGTAAAATATTTTTGGTTAGAAACTTTACGGTTTTTGCTATCTACATTTTTTGTTTTTGTTTCGGATTTTTTAGCTAAATTGTGTGCTCAAAACGTGTTTTTGCATGTGCGAAAACCGCGTTTTTGGAGACATTTTAGGCTAAAAGTTCAAAATGTAGACAAAAAATTTAGATAGTAATATGGCAGCGTGAAGTTTCTCGGCAAAAATATTTGGCGACTTGAGGGCGCATATCAGAGTAGTTCCATTTTATCTAAATCAGTCATGCATTTGACATAACTTTCAAAGGTTAACGTGCCGCCAACCGCGATAGTAGTTAGTGACTCTGAATGCCGCAGCGAAGGGCCCGGATTCGAATACCGGAGAAGGCATGGGTGTTTGTAAATGTATAGTGTCTGAGCGGCATGGGGGCAACTGTGTTGAAAAGGTTTATTAGCCTTATGTTTTACTATTTTTTGTATTCTTATTATTTTTTAGCTTTATAAATATAAACAAGCTATCGATACAAACTCAGACACTCTAATTTCCCAAAATTTCGAATTTAATTAATGTGATAGCTGCGCTTCATGTATTGACGCAGTGTTTTAAATAGTTGGCATGCAGTTGCTTCACTTGATTCTTAAATCACTTTGTTTAGAAATATTCAACCTGTTTCTTGTTTCCGTAAAAAGTTATTGCCTTGATTAATGCTTGCTTTCACTGGGTCAGAAGAGGGGAAAAATCAATAATGTTTGTCCGGTAACAACCTTAATTTTGGAATATTTTCAGGGGCGTAGCTAGAGGGGGGCATCTGTCCCCGGGCGCAGAATCCAAGGGGCGTCAAACTGATGTTATGACATTTTAGAATTAAATGTTTTCCATCCTTGGCAAGCAGTAGGGGGCGCGAAATCTTCACTCGTCCCTGGGCGCTGAAAACCCTAGCTACGACTGTGTAGCCCTGAACACGTTTTTAAGGTTGAAAGAAAAAATTTTTCTCGGATGACTTTTAAATTCCAAAACTTATCGTACCTATGCGTTTTAAATACGACT